AGCCAGAGCACGGGCTCGTACAGCGCCGGCGGCGTGGCAGAGCTCCGATGGAGGCGACGCTGACAGGCGGTCCCGCACTCGGTCCCTAGCTTTAGAGGGAGGCGGGGCCGTGACGCTGGGAGTTCTGGGAGGGCAGCGGACAATAAAGGAGCGCACAGGGGGAACCGAGGAGGATGCCCTGAGCTGGCTTACTGAGAGACAGTCCTGGTGTGAGAGAGAGAGCGTATGCACAGGCTGTTGTTGCCAGGCTCAGACAGGCATCAAAGAGGGTGGAGTAACCCTCTGACGGGCCTGAGTCTGAGGTAACCCTTGAAAAGGCGCACTTTGCTCCAAGCCACCCCAGCACTCCTAGCCCCTTCAGTTACCCAGTGGATCGAGGGGGGGGGCCATCAGCGGAAGGCGGCACGGCAACCCGGGGTAACCCCGAGCAGGAGACCGAAGAGCGCGACAGATACCTCATGAAAACAGCTGATCGAAAGTTATTGATTTCAGCCTCTGATGACCCAAGACTAGTTGGATACATGGACGCCAACTTGGGGGGAAAAGGAAGAAGATGGAAAATCAACTAGTGGATACTTATTCTACTACGGAAACAGTATGATTCACTGGGTCAGTAAAAAGCAACAAATTGTTGCTCAATCTACTGCTGAAGCAGAATGTGTGTCGGCTCAAGCTGCCTGCAATGAGCTAGAATAGATCACCTACATGCTAAAGGACTTTGGCATAGAAGAACCTAAGCCAATACTCATGTTTGAAGATAATGTAAAGGTAAAGGTTCCCTTGCTTGAAAGCCAGTCGAGTCCAACTCTAGGGTTGCCGTGCTCATCTCCGTTTCAAAGCCGAAGAGCCAGCATGTATAAACATGTGCAAAGACAAGCAGCAGACACATCACCATCAAATGTCTTTTAGTGAAAGATATGCAAAAGAAAGGACTGATTGAAGTTCAATACTGTCCTACTGAAGAAATGATAGCGGACATTTTGACCAAGCCACTCAACGCAGCCAAGATCGCAAACCTATGTAAGAAGTTGAAGCTAATTGATCCAAAGCATGACTGAAATGTTAGAACTTGAGAAGGGGTGTTGGAATTGCAAGTTGCTTACACTTCAGCCATTACAGAGTTAAATGTTGTTTGTTAGCAAACAGGATGATACGTTACAAAATGTATTAAATGGCGGGAAAGTTTGTGGGAGTTGTTTATCCTAGTGAAGTGACCTGTAACCTTTGTATTGGTCAACTAACATCTTGTTTGTAGAAATGCTTTGATCTAGCATTAATGTATTCACAAGTTTATGGCCCTTTGTGTGAACCAAAGTGGTAGTTCTCTTCTAGAAGCCAAGAGAGATAGAAAGATGTAGCTGTTAGCATATATTACCAAGAGTAACTGCAAGTATGTAACCTTTTTATTTTATTTCTTTTATCCAAAGTACCATACCCATGTTTTATTTTGTTTTCATAGTAAAGATATTTTTCTTTTACTAAGTGTGTTTGCAATACAACCATCGACCTTGAATTAAGAATCCCAACACAGCTCTCTCAGCCCCACCTACCTCACAGGGTGTCTGTTGTGGGCAGGGGAAGGAGTTCGTAAGCCCCTCTGAGACGCCTTTGGGTAGTGAAGGGTGGGGTATAAATCCCAATCTCCTCCTCCTCCTCCTCCTCCTCTTCTTCTTCCTCCTTTCCAAGTTCTGAGGCCTTGCTTCTGTTTCTCCTGCTGCCCAGTGCCTGGTCACCACAGGGACAGTTTACTGCCTTGCATGCCCTGGGAGGAATAGCCGCTTGCCAACTGCCTAACCCTGGCACTTCTTAAAAATAGCGTGTCTGAGACGGTGGAGATCTATGTGGTACAGAGAACTGCTACCAGCATCAAAAGTTATAAAGCATTTATTAAAAAGAAAATGTTCACAAGCATACTCTCTAGTATTTAATTCCTCCCAATCTCTCTTCCCTGCTTGATCCACCCACTGTCTCTCCTGCTAGATCCATTAGCATTTGTATGAAGGTGGACCGAGGTACATCAGAAAAGCAGTTGAACTGGCCTCCCCCCTTCCTGCCTGCTCTCTGCCCAGAGAGAGAAAAAAAACTTTTAAAATTCAGAGTGAAGATTTTGCTCATTTTAAATCTCCAAAGAAAAAATAAAGCATTTCTTTACAATTCATACAAATCTGGTTCTGAATTCTACAAAATTCAGTGCAGTCTTTCTTTGCCAAAGAAAGAAACCTGGAACCCCACCTGGTAAATGGGAGATGCTCCTGATTTAGATCCAATATCATTAGGCAGCTATCAGCTATTAGGCAGCTATTAGGCAATCAGTGGCTAGAAGGCCAGAAGTTGCCACCAAAACTATCTGATCCCTGTTGCACTCAATTTCCCTCCAAATGCAAGAGGATGCCAAAGTTGTCCTGCCTTGGTGGCCTACTAATGTCAGCATAGTGAAGTAGGTGTCCTATGCCCTCCCAGCAAAAAAGACTTAACAATAGCTGCATCATTGGATGCTGCGCTATCATTGTGCTATAAGTGTCATGCTTTAGACTAGGAATACTCAGTGGCTTGGGAGCCACACGTGAGTCTTTTGACATGCCACACATGTGGCTCTTCTTCACTGTTTCCCATTGTGGCCCTTCCCTGTGTTTCAGGGAAGTGGGCAAAGCCCTCGCCTAGTGGGGCTTGTGGTTGGGAGGTGATTCCCACCTTGGAAAAGCTGCTACCAGAGGAAAAGGGAAGCAGCAAGCCTCCAAGATGTCAGGTTGTCAACTTTAGACTAGGAAATACCTGGAGCTATGGGGGAGTGGAGTTTGGGGAGGGGGGCAGTTCAGCAGATACAATGCCATAGAGTCTACCCTCCAAAGCATTTTCTCCAGGGGAACTGATCTCTACCATCTGGCGATCAGTGGTACTTCCAGAAGGTCTCCAGGCCCTACCTGGAGATGTTACAAAAACAATGGGACCATGGTGTATAAAAGAAGAAAAGATGAAATGAAAAGCACCATGCAAAAATCAACTGCTGTATATCTCCAATAAACCTTTTCACAAACCGTTTTAAACAGAAGGTAAAAGGTTTTCCTTGCTTGAAAGCCAGTCGAATGCAACTCTAGGGGGCAGTGCTCATCTCCATTTCCAAGCCGAAGAGCCAGCGCTGTCCAAAGATTTCTCCATGGTCATGTGACCGGCATGACTAAACCCTGAGGTACATGGAATGCCATTACCTTCCCACCGAAGCGGTACCTATTGCAATTTCTTGCTTTCCAACTGCTAGGTTGGCAGGAGCTGGGGCCAGAGACGGGAGCTCACTCTGTCACGCGGCACTCAGGTCTCGAACTGCCAAGTTACCGACCGTCCAGTCTGCAGCTCAGTGTCTTAACCTCTGAGCCACCACGGCCTTATGACTGAGGTCCTAATGGAAAGCTTCTGGATTGGTTTGTTGTAATGAGAGCATAGATTCCAGATTCAGTCAGAACACATTGGAGAAGCTTATTGAGTTGAACACATTGGAGATCCTAGCGACTTTCGAGGAAGACTCTTGAAACGGGCTTCAACCGGGTGCTCATTAAGTCACAGCTACACTTGATCTGCAAATATTTGACTTTACATATTGTAGGAACAGCAGGTTCCTCTATTTCTGATCTGGTTTATTTGGGGATTTTCCATTTAGGTATAACCTGTATTGAATGGTATGTTCTGGATTAAGGAACTCCAAGAAGTTCCATTCAGAGACCTTTTTCTAATTCATATTTTATGAATTTGATTGTGTCTGCTTAGCATTTTGTCCACCTTGGTGGGATATACATGAAAAAGAGTGCATGGATTTTCTAATACGGGCAGCTTTTGATCTTATATACTATTCAATGATTGGTTGATTGTAATGATTGACAAATGAGACAAATGTAGCATTTATAGAAGGTTTATTGGATATATACAGTAGCCGATTTTTGCACTGTGTTTTTCATTCATCTTTTCTACAACCTGGAGATGGGCAACCCTAGGTGCAAACCTTGTATCAGAGTCGGAAGTAAACGTGGCTCTTTTGCTTGATGGTAATTGCGAATGTGGCTCTCTACTAGCTGCTGAGCTAGTACCACTGTTGTAGACGGGTTTTTTTTTTTTGCCTTAGTTTTTCATTTGCATTGTTTTCCAGTATCTGTAATCCCATCCTTTCTGCGTTCTTTATTTAAGGTACTTGCTTTTAACATTTTGTAACCCGCCTTGGAGGGCCACGGTGGCTCAGAGGTTAAAATGCTGAGCTGCAGACCAGAAGGTCTGTAGTTCGGCAGTTCAGGACCCTAGTGTATTGTGACGGAGTGAGCTCCCGTCTCTGGCCCCAGCTCCTGCCAAACTAGCAGTTCAAAAACAAGAAATTGCAAGTAGACAAATAGGTACCGCTTTGGTGGGAAGGTAACAGTGTTCCGTGTGCCTTTATATTTAGTCATGCCAGCCACATGACCATGGAAACATCTTCAGACAGCGCTGGCTCTTCGGCCTGGAAACGGAGATGAGCACTGCCCCTTAGAGTCGGATTTAACTAGCTTTCAAGCAAGGGAAACCTTTACCTTTCACCTGCCTTGACTCTCAGTGATAAGGGCAGGCTACAAATGGGTTGCCAGGTTCCATGTGGCAGGTGGAGAATTCCTGGGATTACAACTGATCTCCAGGCAACAGAGATCAGTTCACCTGGAGAAAATGGCTGCTTTGGAAGGTGGACTCTGTGGCATCATACCCTATTGACGTCCCTCCCCTCCCCTCCTCAGGCTCCAACCCCAAAATCTCCAGATATTTCCCAACCCAGAGCTGGCAACACTATAAATGAAGATGATGATGGTAAAGTACGACAATACTATCTAGAAGCTCAGATTTTTCTACTCAGTGCATAGAAAATGCAGAGGAGGGTATGGACAAGTATTCTCCTTCTTTAGTTCAGGATTGTTGCAGCTAAGAAATAGCAGAAGGAACACAAAGGAGAGTTTTATGCCTTCTGACATGATTTTTGTGTTGACTTTTCTTAGGTGACAGGAATGCTCACCCAGAAGTGATTACCACATATGGGCGCCTTCGAGGCAAGGTAACCAGCGTGAAGGGTACTGACAAGCTTGTGAATACTTTTCTTGGAATCCCTTTTGCAAAACCACCCATTGGGTCCCTTAGATTCACCCCTCCGCAACCACCAGAGCCCTGGAGTCACGTGAGAGATGCAACATCTTTTTCTCCAATGTAAGAGCCCATCATTTTTCACTTTGCTGTAATGCCTAATTTTGTTGGATGTCCTTGTTCTCTGTGAATCTACACATTATAGAGTAAGACCCAGCTCAAGTTCCTTGAAGCTTATAAGAACACATCAAATGGGACTTTTCCTTGTGATAGTATTTAAACAATGGAGCACAAATAGTCCTAGGGGTCCATTAATAAAAACCATGACTATCGAATTGTGACAAAGCAAAGATTGTTGTTATGGGCTCAGTAATTTTAAGAAGAATTATGTATTTTAAGATGTGGTGCCCATTAAGCCTCTGTTGTTTCAATATTTTCACACTGGGCAATTTCTTGTGTGGATAAGGAGTCAGAATGGAATAAATAGGAATCGAGTCCATTTTTTAAAATGTTTTTGTATGTTGAAATTTGAATCCCTAAAGAGTTATGATCAGAAGCCTGTGGCACACTGTTGGGAAAGACTGGGTTAGCATTGAAGTTTTGCAGAAACAGTTATCTCCCACCTGCTAAGATGAACAAATTTAATAGAGGTATACCAGATGCATGATGCAGATGCACAGGGGCATATGCTAAGAATACAAATTTGTGATGGGGTTCTGTGAACATTCAGAAGTGTTGGGATAAAGTGACAAAGGGTATCAGAGATATTTCTTCAACATGGATTAATTACAAAGTTTTAGTCCAGTGGCACCTTTAAACTTTGTTCTGCTGCTTCAGACCAACATGACTACCCACCTGGATCTATCTTCATCCACAGTGCTTTTTACCTAGTAATATAAATATTTGATCCTGGATGCTTTGTGCCTTCAAAATGCAGGGATGCCAATTTGTCTTGGTTCCATCCATTCAAGGTTCCTCCAGGCTTGCTTATGTATTTAGATAGTACATTGTTCCATATGCGAGCTATTTGTTGGCATTTCACAAGTAACTGAAGGCAAAGTCATCAGAGCATGCATTTAGCCATCTTAAACAGCTCTGTGCAGAATCCTACTCCTACTATTCAATGGGGTTTACTCACAAGACAGTATTTTTAGGATTGCTGTCAATCTGATTGCAAATGGATAGCCATGTCTGTCATAGCAAAATAAAACAAAAATCTATATGTAGTCTTCATGGACTTATGCACAACTTTTGATAGCATCTCTAGAACCAGACTATGGCAGAAGCTAAAGGAAGCCACAATTGCCAGACTAGAGATTCTATCCTAACTTTTAAAGGTGTTCAACAAGGATCTCTTTTATCCCCTTACACTTATTTAATCTATATATAAATTATATCGTCAAAGCAGTTTCAGGACTACTCACCATACACCTACCCTTAATGATCAAGATCTTTAAACTCTCATTTATGTTGATGATACTGCATTATTATCTCACACACTGATAGGGCTGGTTTTAGCTCCTACTGTGCTGATGAAAGTTTAACTATAAACGCTGAGAAACCAAAAGTAGTTGTCTTTGCAAGAGGATGCCGACCAAAGAAAGAAAAAGGACTAGAGGATGGTAAACACCAACACTGAACAAGTAACAACATTTAGATATTTAGGAATGACAAGAAGGGGGGACCCGCGATATTCGCGGGGTGGTGGTGGTGGCAGGGGCAGGGAAGGTGCCAACCTCCCGGCGGGTGAAGGCAGGGGCCAACCTCCCGGCGGGTGAAGCCAGGGGCGGGGAAAGGGGCGGGGCTAGCGACCCCCCTGCTCGTCCTCCCGCCAGAAGCAGGCGCCGATGGACGGTCGGTGCGGCCCTTCCGCCACCTTCCTGCCTGCCCGCCTGTGGATCCTTGAGGGACCCGAAATGAACCCGCCGCCGCCGCCCGTAGAGAGACGTCTCCGGGCGGGTGGAGGCAGGGGCGGCCGGACAGGTGCCGAAAAAGGGGGCGGGGCTAGTGACTCCTCTGCTCGTCCTCTCGCCAGAAGCAGCAAGCAGGCGCCGCTTAGGCAATGGCTGGCACAGCCCTTCCGCCGCCTTCCTGCCTGCTCGCCTGTGGGGGGGGAGAAGGATCCCTCTCGGAGTGGAGTTTGTACCAGGGTGCTTTCCTGACGCCGCCTCCTTCTGCCCTCTTCCCCGCCCTAGAGGATGGAGCGAGCAGGGGGCCCTCGGAGAACAAGCTGGACGTCGGAGAGCTGGGCTTTTCCAGGGAAGGGCTTTTCCCTTGCAGAACTCTGGAGCTGGGATCCACGTGCTTATCAACTCTGATCTTTGCAACAGCCACACGTTGCCGGGGGAGGGGGGGACAAGGACTCCGGCCGTGGATTTTAGCGGTAGGGCTTTCTTTTGGCAGGACTAAGGCAGCAGGCAACTGGCTGTGGGAAGGGAGGACCACAACCTGGGCGCACGGTTCCCCCCTCTGCCCTCTGTTCGCTGCAGAAGGGGCGCGACCCGTGTCACACACATACACCCGTCCCCGGCAGTGGCATCAAGCGAGACGGGGTTCATCCAGCCGGCCCACGCCACGCACACGACTCACCAAGGTCTCCAGCTGCAGCGTTCGGAGCGGAGTTTCGCTTTTGCTTTCTTCTGCTTCCTCCTCCTGGTCCCGGCTCGTAGCCCCCCAGCCTTGCAGGTGGAGGAGGCAAAAAAGGAGGCTGCTTGCAGTGGCGAGGAAGCAGCAGGTCGGTGGCACAGAGAGGGCAACAGCTGCTGGGCTTGTACCTAAGGCCCTTCCGCCACCTTCCTGCCTGCCCGCCTGTGGGGGGGGGGAGAAGGATCCCTCTGCCCGGGGCCTCCTTGACTTGCGTCATCGTCGTCGTGGGGGGGGGGCGTTTCTGTAGAGCTAGACGGGGTTCTTGGAAGCACTCTGGAGAGACAGTCCCGTCTGCCCCCCACCCCGGGAGGAGCAAGCGAGGAGGCAGAGGCAGGGGCTGCCGCCGGGCCAGCTACAACGCGGCGCCCTGCCCACACCGCCATGCGTCCGGCAGAGCGCCCCTGCCTCTCCTCCCCCGCCCTAACGGCTGGCTCGCGCTCTAGGCGAAGGCCTAGTTCGCCTAGCGGGCGAGCCGGCCCTGAATGTAGGCTTGTATTATGGATGCCACCTGGACATCCAAGAGCGCTTCTGTCGTGGCTCAGGTGGGGGGTCACCTGACGCTGCCACCACTCTGGATTTAGGATCCCTTGAGAAGGACCAGAGCACCCTCCCAAGATCTTCAGCCCTCCCGTTTGGCCGAATAATAGGCATGAGGACCAGGCAGAGTAAACAACAAGGAAAAGATTTATTTTATAGGAGGTCAAACAACAAGGTGCAGAATAATAACAGTAAGTGGGTAAAAAGAAAAGAAATCTAATGCCCTAACACGTCTAAATATATACTCTCTCTAGCTCACTATCTCAAGTGGCACTAGACTACTCACCCTTCCCTCAGGATGAGGGTTTCTTCCCCACAGCGGCCTCTCCTCTGGCCCTGTTTCGTGAGAAGAAGAACAGCTTTTCCTCTTGTACCAGTTCTTTTCTTTCCCAGCCCTCTTCTTCCCTATTGGTCACAATCAGCGCTGAAACTTCCCAAGGCCCTCTGTGGTTTGTAGGCCCAGCCTCCCCTACTGCTAGCCAGGCTCCCTGGGCCTAGTAGGCCTCTGGTGGCACAGCCCAGATCATGACAGCTTCAGAGTCTGAAACGATTCCACTACACATGGCAACAACCTATTGATGACAGGCGATTCCACTTTCCCATGTAGTTTCCCATCATTTCCCTCTTGTCTGGATTCTGTTTCAACCTGTTCATCTTCAGAAACTCATCCAAATCAACCATATGCCGGTTCAGAACAGAACCTGGAGCTCATAGAAAAAGAAAAGTAGAGCTAAGTGTCATCAGTATTTGATGATCTCGGAGAAGTCTTTGGATAATCTCTTCTAAGAGTCTCCTGTAGCTGTTTGGCGTATCAGTGGTAACACAGAACCCCTTTGGGACACCAAGTCATGTGTGTATGTATGTATGTTGATTTATTTCTGGAACAAATTTTTGCAACAAATTATTCTGGATGGCACTCCTTATACTCTCATTATTTTAAAAAAGGAATGTGCCTGTTTACATTAGCTCTTTTGGCTGGAAGGCTTAAATTTGTATCTGTCTGATTACTTTCCCCACTAAATCAAGCTGAGATAGCATGGGTTATAATTGAAATGTAAATTAGAAATCAGATGTATATATTAAGGAGAATACTTACAACCATTTACTCTCATTCTGGAGATACATTGGGATTTTGTGTTGCAAACGTTCTTACCTTAGTATGCCTTCCCTTTTGAAATTCACCATTGAGCAGTCATGCAGTTAAGCTCTTTAGACCGAGGCTTGCAGCACAATGAAGGTAGCTGAGTGATGAGGTGGTAGAATGGACTGTATTACTTCAGACTGCTGGGGAGAGATTCTTTCTCCCCTCAGAGTTCCTCTACCTGATGGACTCACCCAGGGGTCATTTCCTGCAGGAGCGCACAGGAGCAGAGCTCTGGCATTAAAGAGCCCAGGGGGCGGGCACATGCAACAAGCCCCACCCCCTGCTCCCAGCGTGGGGGGTCGCACTTTTAAAACCATGCCTCATTTCCATTAAGTGTAATAATTATATTACATTACAGAATCCTATAGCCCTTGACTTGCAAGTTGAAAATGAAAATTTATATTAGAAAAGCATTTAAAATCATCACAGTTTGTTCTCCAGGAGTAAAGTGTGATGAAATCCTAAATGAGGTGGAGCTGAAGGGCAGTTCACATGACACAAAGTCCTTTGTTGCGCCAAATGCTTTATCTACAGCAGATGGCTAACTATGTTTTTAATGTGAGTGCTGGCCAGCTATACCGAGGTTGTGTCTACTGATGGAGACCCAGTAATGGAGACCACACGGGTGTTTTTCCAAAACAAAATAATCTTTTTACTGAAGGGTGTCAAGTTCGCACATACAAAATAATCAGTCTCTTGTTTCACATGCACTCAAGATTCCTTAAGAGTTACGGAAAGAAATTAAAATAGATTATCAGTTACTTGGAGGTAGGTAGGTATATTTCGGTTTATACTCACCTG